GCGGGCGGCGGCGGGGCCTGGAAGAAAAGAAAAGAAGAAATGGGGTCAAATTGAAAATTTTAAAATATATAAAATTCGAATTTGGCCCTAATGACCGGAAGTTAACCTAGAAACGGGCTAATGGCTCATTAGTGAAAGGATTGTGTAAGTTCAGGGATTTTTGTGAAAGGATTTGAAGTTCAGGTACCACTTCGAAATTCCAGCTAAAGTTCAGGTACCATTGGTGAAATTTACCCATGTGTTTTGTGTAGAGCATTTATTTGAAACGGAGTATCTTACTATTATTGACTAGTTCAGGTTGTATGATTTTGACACCATATTGAATGACACATTCAACCAAAAGCTCATATTAACTTACGAGTCTGCGCATTAAGTGTTGAAAGCACCAAAAGGCGTCCCCTTCATTGTCAAGAAGAATTATCATTGGGGAGCAAAGGTCACTCATTCCTACACATACACCATATTTAAATGCTCAAAAACAAAGAGCCAAAGAGTAGAAATCTTTGTTAAGAATATAAAAGACTGAATCCAATCGATTACTTAGTTAAACTCAAGAATTTATATATGTACCGATTACTTTTTTCTTCAACTTCTGACGTGGGATACTTTAACCGGAATGAATAAAATACCTTGACAATAACCAACATCTCTGTCGAACCAGGCATAAACGGCTAGAATGTCCCAAAGTTTTGCAAGATTCTCTTGCTTCTCGTAAAACACAAGTGTTCTATCAGTTCTTACCACATCAAGACCTATATGCACCAAGGTAAAAAAGGGGGTGAAATGAGACAGGTAAACCCAAGGTAAAAGTTACTCTAAAACATGATATCTGTTTTATATTGATCTAAACCAAGGTGAAACATTAACTTTTCTAGAAAAAGAAATTCAACCAAAAATTAAAAACAAGAATACAAGTCTGAATGATAATTAGTACAACCTATTTGGTGCAATGTCAATTTCCACTGAATTATTCTTTGGTCCGTTTCCTTCAACATGTCTGAATGGTTGGGATCACCTGTAATTTTAATTAATTATGTTCTTAGTTAATGCAACTTATCAGTAATTGTGTACCAATAAAAAAAGAATAAAGTAAAGAGTGAAGTCTTACTGTTCCCAGTTTGGTGGAGTACAAGGGGGTCGAGAATAGGATCGCCGGTCTCCGTTATTATCGGCGCCGTTACAAATTTGCCACTCCCTATCAACGAAAATATTTGGTGGCATTCTTCTTTCAATACGCTATATTGTGCCCTGAAATTGTGCATCTTATACAAAGAATAACCCTTTGACTTTGCAAATTTGACCAACCAAAATATAAAAATATTCTTATAAAAAAGATTATACTCTGTATAATTACTATTAGTGCGCCTAAAAGTTAATAATTTTACAATAATGGTGCTCTAAGATTTCATATTGACCATAGACACGCTTCAATTAAAATTGAGAGATCTGTACAAAATAAAACTCCATACTAAGTATTTTTGAATTAATGAAAATGCTGATGATTTTTGTGTAATTTAGGATTACTTTTATAAGATTATGAATTTTTGGGAGTATTATTAACATTATTTTTTTTTGAAAAACAAAAAAAAAAAAAGGAAAATGAATGGGAATAATGTAAGTATGTAATTAATTAACCTACCTTCGGTGTTCCCTTATTTGGTTACGTTCGGCGTATGTACTTTTGGGATCAAAACAACCCAGTAAAAACTCCCAAACTTCACCTCTAATGGAAGGATGTATTCCCTATGATGCCACAAATAACCGACGGTAAATACTATACACTCGACCCTCTGTAACAAAATTTATTACTCATATCATATGTCTCATTTCACTAGTGAATTAAATATTATTGCGTCTGAAACAAAAAATAAAACCCGTAAAATTTTTAATAAAAACTTACCCCGCGATGAATTCTGCTGAGTGTTTTTCCAATGTCAAGGTAACCTTCTTGATTAAATGTCGCGTGCCACTTCCGCGGACTTAACGTTTTCCCAATCTGAACATGTAAATAAAACATAAACATGCACTTGTTATACAAAAAAAATATTTTTGAAAAATAAATTAAAATTGGGAAAAAATAAAAAAAATATCAAGAAAAAACAAACCTTAATTCTAAATTTGGTCTTGGGAACATCGGTGCATTCAGGACGGACCTGATAGAAGGAATCAGCTGGAGTTCCAGGGCCCCTCCACATTTCCCAAATTCTATTTTTTATATATGAACAAATTGAATATTCAAATGGGAAAAGATTATTTAATTGTGATTATTTTAGAATTAAAATAATTGCTCTGCATTTTCGTTAATCTTGATTCTCCGGGACCGGGAAATTATGATTAGAGAGGGAAAAAAACTGGCGGAGAGTGGCGGAGCCGGTGGTGGTTTTGCTTCAAAGGCCATCAAACATTTATCATCACAAACTTTTCCCAACATTTCCGTCTAATGCGTATGGCGCTTCTTTTTTTCTTTTTCGATCAACACCAAAACAAAACAAACTTTACTCCATTTTTAATGCGTATGGCCTTCTTTTTTCCTTTTTAATGAAATTTAAACTAAACTTTACATCAAAATAAAACAAATTTTCCTGACGACAACGTTTAAACCGGGATCGAGCGGCTGCCCACGCTTCAATTCTCAAAGACTACTTCAATACTCTGTGGGTTTATACACCGGATGATTTTAGTAATCGTTTTCAGATGAGTCGTAATCTCTTTTTAAGCATACTCGTCGATATTGAACGCACCCAACGCTTTGATGCGAGAGGCCGATGCAGGTTTAGTAGTGTCCAGAAATGCATTACCGCGCTTTGTCAGATGGCGTACGGGACGACATCTGATATGTTCGACGAATACTTGAAGATGTCGGCTTGGAGCATCAGATTCTGTATTTATAAATTTTACAAAGCTATTATTCAAATAATTTATCATAAAAGATATATATGTAAGCCTATCGCGAGCGATATTCAGAAGTTACAGGCAAGACATGCCGCTAAACACAACTATGTCTGCATGCTTGGAAGCATTGATTGCACACATTGTGAATGAAATAATTCTCCCACTATGTGGCATGGTCGGTTCTCCCGAGGATCATCCCAAGCCTACTATATATCATGCTCGAAGATGTTGCTTCAAATGACTTGTGGTTTTGGCACGCTTTTTCCGGTGTCACGGACTCGAACAACGATATCAACGTTATCGATCAATGATCTGTTTTTGACCATTGGATTAATGAGATCGCCCCGACTCGTCTTTTGAGCTTAGAGGGACACTTTACAAGCGTGGATATTATTTGGCCGAATGAATATATTCAGATCATTCCACGATTGTCACGTCCCTCTCCGAACCAATGTGTCTTAAACGCAAGACCTACAAAAAAGCTCATGAGGCGACGAGAAAAGATATTAGATGAGCCTTTGGGGTTTTGAAGGCTAAGTGGCATATTCTAGATCGTCCGTCCAAATATTTTTCTCAAATAAAAATAAGGAATATCATGTACGCATGTATTATTCTTCGTAATATGATCGCAGAGGACAACGAGTTTGCGATTTGTCAATACAACCTGGACGAGGAGGTGCCTATATATGTACGAAAAAATTGACAAAGAAAAGAAACGAAGAAACTACCAAAAAATTCGAACCCGAGAGATTCGCAATGCACTGACGGCAGATTTGATTGAACATATCTTCAGTCGCTCGAATAATTAGTAATTTGTTCCTAATATTTTTTTAATGAATGTAATTTTTTAAAAAAAATGTATTTTTATGGATGTAATATTTTTAAAATGAATGTAATTTTTTAATAAACTTTTTAGAAGATGTATATTTAAAATATTAAAAATGAAGGTTTGAAGCTCCAGTTTGAAGTCTCAGGGCTTCAAACCTACTCCCTCCGTCCAAAATTAATGTTCCCAGTTTGACTTGGCACGGAGTTTAATAAAAATTGAAATTTACTTTGACTTTCCTAAAATACCCCTCCATCCCTCATCCATTCCCCTCTTATCTTGTCCACCCATTTCTCTGTGCGATCTGTGCAATCGGAGACCCTTCAAGCACGACCTCCTCCCTGCTCCCCCATTATCTCCGACGGCCGCCTTGATGGTCTCCGATGTCAACTCCGACCACGACTTCATTGATGGCCATCCCCTTTTCACGCTGCTTTTATTTCAAAAAAAAAAAAGACGAATAAGGAAGAAAATTGGGGCTCCTTCCAGCACACCAACATCAATCGGCGCTTGTAGTACTCCGCCATAGACATAGATTTCTTTGTAGACGCTGACCATCTTCACAGATCCGAATCGAATTTCTCAGATCTGACGGAGATGGACTAGAAAGAAGAAAAAAAGAAGAGGAGTTGATGATTAATTGGGCGTGGGACCATGGGAAGAAGAAGAAGAAGAAGAACAGGGAAGGAGAAGAAAGGAGAAGAAAAAGAAGAAGAAAGAAGAAGATGAAAAGAAGAGTGAAAAAGAGAGAGAAAAGAGAAGGGAGAAAAAACATGGCAGGGACAGTGGGAACGGACGAATAGGGAAGGAAAAAAGAAAAAGATAAATAAGGAGTGGTTGGAGACTTGGAGGGGTAATTTAGACTTTTTGATATAAAAAACTTTCCAAAAATAGAAATGGGAACATTATTTTTGGACGGACGAAAAAGGAAAGTGGGAACTTTATTGTTGGACGGAGGGAGTATTTTAATTTAAACTATGTGGTAAGTTAAAACTGACGTGACAGAAAAAGAATGTTTGAAACTCCTGGACTTCACGGATATTTCCAGTGCCCATGAACTAAAGTGTTTTATGTTAGACCATTATAATATTAGATTAAAATCAATTTGATACTCCCTCCGTCCCAAATTATTTGGCACATTTGCTTTTTCAACAGTTGCTTGAACTTTTGTTTTTTTCTACGTTTTCATTGGTTATTTGATAAAATAAAATATTCTTGATACATCTTATTTCGAAGAATTTTTTATGTAGTTTTTTGATATATAATTTTTATTTTTTATTTATTTAACAATATGTAAATAAAATGAATTGAAAATCTTGATATTTTGCCTCAATAATAGAATTATGACAAATAATTTAGGACGGAGGGGTAAGAAGAAAGACTTTTAACTATTTCCTAATAAGGGGTCACATTTATGATTTTTACTCCTTTTTTGTCAAAATCAAATTTGAGCATTCAATGACTCAATGTCATGTAAGACGCCGTACAGTACATTTTACAATTACCAAAAAAAATCGCATTTAAGACCGGGGTGGGTGGCTTTATAAATCTTAGTGTTTTGAGTTTCAAGTTTTAATACTCCCTTTTTTGAAATAAAACACCACAATTTGTGCTCATTCTTATTCTTTTTTTTGCTAGCCTCTGAATAATATTTTAAAACTACAAATTAATATTGAAAATATCAAAACTAAATTTCAAGAAATTAAAGCTAAATTTTAAATAATAATTAAGATTGATATTTAATTCCAAGATCTCTAGTTTCGCCGTATCGGGCCAAACAATAGGTGAAATGAGAGTGTGTGATCTATATTCGCGACAAGTGTTTTTAGGTGTTGAACCTAAAATTATCACTGTTGCACTAAACCTTAAAAATGTTACTTTCTCTGTCTCCGTGAAATTATTACTCTTTGACTTTCATAAAATTTAAAAAGAATTGTTACGGAGTACAAATTAAAAAGTCTATGATTAACATTTATTTAAATAATGCTTCTTAAATAAAGTAAGTGTATAATACGTAGTACTCTATTTTTAACCCATTCAAAAAAGGAAAATATAAAAAAAAAGTTACGAGAGGGAAAGAATAATAAAAAACCATATATACCTCCAAAGGCTGTGAATTATTATTGTCTTTTATTCGGTGTCGACGCACTCTGGACGCTTCCTTCTCCTCCTTCTCTCTCCCTTCCCCTGCCGTCGACGGGGAGAGATTGAAGAAATCTAAGGATTCCTATTCCATAATTTGCAGAATGACGAGCTTTGGGTTCCACTCAATCGGTGTTCTGCTCGTCATCTTCATCGTCTGTTCGGTGCCGTTCGGATGTATTGGGATTCGGGATTTCGCGGCGAAAACAGGGGAGGATTCCGGCGGGTCCGAGTATTCCGAGGCGCCGGAGTACCGGAACGGCGCCGAATGTCCGGCGGCGATGTGGCACTCCTGCGATCCGTCGCTCGTGCACGTGGCGATGACCCTCGACTCCGAGTACCTCCGTGGGTCGGTGGCGGCGGTGCACTCAGTCCTCCGCCACGCCTCCTGCCCGGAGCACGTGTTCTTCCACTTCATCGCCGCCGAATTCGACCCGGTCACTCCCCGGGTCCTGACCCGGCAAGTCCGGTCCATATTCCCCTCCCTCAGCTTCAAAGTTTACGTCTTCAGAGAGGACCGGGTCATCCACCTGATCTCCGCCTCGATCCGGCGGGCGCTGGAGAACCCGCTGAACTACGCCCGGAACTACCTCGGCGACATTCTCGACCCGTGCGTGAACCGGGTCATCTACCTGGATTCTGACGTCATCCTCGTCGACGACATCAGCAAGCTCTGGCGAGTCCCCTTGACCCGGTCGCGGGTAATCGGGGCTCCGGAATACTGCCACGCCAATTTCACCAAGTACTTCACCGACACATTCTGGTCCGACCCGGTCCTCCCGCGGGTATTCGGGTCGGGTCGTCCCTGCTACTTCAACACGGGAGTGATGGTGATGGACCTCGGGAAATGGCGGGCCGGGAATTACGGGAGGAAGCTGGAGCGGTGGATGGCGGTGCAGAGGAAGAAGAGGATATACGAGTTGGGCTCGCTGCCGCCGTTCTTGTTGGTCTTTGGTGGGCTGATTGAGCCCATTGATCACAGGTGGAACCAACACGGGCTCGGAGGAGACAACATGTTGGGCTCTTGTAGGGCCCTGCATCCAGGCCCAGTGAGCCTGCTGCATTGGAGCGGAAAAGGAAAGCCGTGGGCCAGGTTTGACGAGAAGAAGCCTTGTCCGTTGGATCACCTCTGGGTACCGTACGATCTGTACAGGCCCAATAAGCATGGGGAATGAATGAATGAATATTATGGTTTATGGAAGCATTGTGGTAGTAATAGTATTAGTACGGAGCATTTCATTTGATTTATTTCTTTTTTTTTAGGAGAAGAAGATTTTAGGGTGCTTAGTTGTATTCTTTCGTATTTAATGAAATGTATTCTCTGTATTTTCAACCAAAACATTAATTCTTTTTTGGCATTGCTCGAACGCTTGCCTTTTTGAGCAAAAATAATTTTTTTATTAAAAAAGAACATGGCTTTTCGTTGTTGAAT